TGGAGCCATATCATCAAGAATATACACCGAGGAAGCAGATTCGAGAAACACTCGGAAGTTAATAATCAGCAGGACCTGATGACTAAGAGTCCTGGGTGGGGAAGGGGTGAGGTTGAAAAGAAAAGAGGAAGCACATTGATGGAAAGTTGAAACAAATATGTCCAAAATTTTAGAATCATATGAAGCCTGAAGAAATTTTCTGGAAGAAGCTCCAGAAAGATCAAAACATATAGATCAAAACAGTCTTCATCTGTGCTGTCTTTGAACCAGGAGACTACTTTGGAATTTGTTATTTCTTCAGGGCAGAGACTCACACCTGCCCTAGGGAAGTAATTATAAAATTGACTGAACTGTACGCTGAACCCAAAGAGGTTGAAATAAAATACGCAGATCTGGCCGGGTCTCTCCCCACAGCCTGTGGTGAGCCTTTCCTACCAGAATTCTAATTTTGTCAAAATGGGGTTGCTTTCATGCAATTTTAAAACGAGCTTTCAAAAACGGAAAGCAGCAAGAATAGCAAGTGGACATACATGGGTTGGGGGAAAAACTGGGTTGGGTTAAGTTTTATAAAAAGAAAAGGTATCTTTTCTCACGAAAAATAATAAGATGGGATTTTTCTACTGTTACTTTAAGAGGCAAAGGACCTAGTCAAAGCATTCTTTTTTTTCTTAATTCCTTATCTGCAAATAAAGAGCAGTAAAATTAAAAGAAAAAAAAGCTATGTGCTGTAAATGCCTTTAAGACACACGTTTAGTTCCACACGGTACTGTCTTGCTGGGCGGGTTGCCCAGGTCGCCTCTAAGTCCCACAGTTGCGTAAGGCGAAGGGGTGAAACGTATCTTTACCACCCTGGGGGGGAATTCGTCCCTGAGAAACAGGATTGCATTTTCTCACCGGCTCACATTTAGCTGGCTTATTACCTGAGCAGGGCACCAGGGAACCGGTTCCCTTGTTGCCACAGGCAGGACACTAGACTCAGGTCCCGAAGCTAAATTCTTGACACAGCAGCACAGTGCTCTGGCCCTGGAGGGCCCTCGCCCTCGGGACATCCCTCACATTCCTGTCCTTTCTGGTAAACGGTTTCCAGGAGTTCCACCTCCGGGAAACTATAGGGACAGCCCTGAGGACAACCTAAGTAGTAGCAAATGTTTTATGGTCTGCAATTGTTTTTTAAGTAAAGAAAAAAACTGCTTGGAAGAAGCAAAGCTAAACTAACTGCTGACATGCAAACCCAGCCTGAGAGCTCAGCGGCAAACCTTGCTCCTGGTTTGCAGGTAAAAAGAGCTCTCAGCCTTGCAGGGCGAGGCCTTCTGTTGGTGCGGCCTCCGCACAACCAAGAGGCCCCTGTGAGCAGGGACCTCGTGCCCAAAACGCCCCTGCGACTCCAAGGTGCCTGGAATTTCACCTAGAGCAGTAGCTTCAGGAGCTAGCTGATGGATTCTGCTCTTTTACTCAAACTATTTCTTCCTCCCCCCCC